ACATCTGTATTTGTAAACCACATAACTCCAGTCTCTGAGCACTGTATATACGTCTAGAGAGATTTGAAAGTAAATCTGTTTATAAAACCTTTACATAATTATGGATTGTAGGACTATTAGATATTAAACTCTTATTTTTCATTGTAAACATAACTAAAATGGGGTTACGAGATTTTCATTGCATCTCATAGATTGTTCATAAGTTGTCACACAAATTGTAAGTGGATAATGTTGTGATTTTACAAAGAGAAAATTCATCAAATAATTCAGTAATTTAATTTCCTGGAATGTTACATCATGATTTCTCGGAATAAAGCTACAGTAGATAACTAATTCATTTGTTCGATTCCGTGAACCGTTCTTGGCATATTTGCTATTTATTCCAATGGTCCGATCTAGCTCTCTTTTCATCTTTTCAATATTATCGGTTGATTGATGAGTTTGCTGTATGGTTTAGCAACTCAACACAGCAGCCATCTAATTGTTATTGTAGTTTTCTTTCTCTCAATATAATTTCAGATCTAGAGTTGTTAAAGTACAGTAAATGTATTTAAGGTTATAAAAAATCCCTGTTGAGCAAATCCGATACCTAGGACTCCACCTGGACAAACGACTAACTTGGAATCCTCATACTAGACTGAAACGACAAGAAACCGCTCGACGTTTCCGATTACTTCAGCACTTACTAGACAAACGCTCTAAACTTCCCATTAATTACAAAAGACTCATATACTTGACTATAATAAGACCTATTTGGACTTACGGAGTTGAGCTATGGGGCTCTACTAAACCATCGAATTCCTCTCGCATCCAATCCTTACAATCCAAAATCCTTCGTAAAATCCTCAATGCTCCTTACTTTGTCACTAATAAAATTATCCTATTAATAAAACATAAAGATCTTAATGTTCCTTATGTTTCAGATCTGGCCCAATCCAGATACCTATCCTTCCATAATAAACTTCACAATCATCCCAACCCTCTCGTTTCTAACCTTACTTCCTCTTCAATTCCTGATAACCCTCCGAGGCGTCTGAAAAGAAGATGGCCCCGTGATCTCCTAATATAGTCATATCATTAGAGTGCTACCATTGGGTAGTTACTCAGCAAGTGTATTCATGTCATTATATCAATTATGTCCAAATTTACTTGATGTATTTATGTAATACAGTTGTAAATGTCATAAAGAAATTAAAAAAAAAAGGTTATAAAAACAGATTTTTTAAATATCTAAGAAATATTTTTATGTTTCAATTCTTCTTTCACACAAGTACAATGAAATGGTTTTTAAACAATTTCATTTTCTTAATTCGGTTGATTTTAAATACTTTTTCAAACTTAAAAAAAATTAACAGTTTACTTTTCTTTGTAAATTTTATTTAATTTTCTTGGAAACATGTGATTTTCGTTAAATAATATTAATTTTCAAAAATTATTATTTATAATTCTTCGTCACTCTCTAATACCTTCGACGACTTTATATAAAATATATTATTTTTCAAAAATGCTTCGCTTTTCAATGATATATTATACGTATACCTTTTGACTACTATTTCCGGAAATTCATTTTTGACCTAAATAAATATTTTTCGGTATTTCTCCATTATTCAATTATCTAATTCTTTCAAAAGTTTTCAGTAACTTCTAACAAAGAGAGATTGTTGATTATTTAAAATTAACCAAATTAAAGTTACTTTAGATAGAGTTTTGTTGAACATTGGATATTTAAGTCTTGTAAAGCTACATAAATGCAGATCAAATGCCACTTAATTATGCAATGATGCACCGAGTTTTTTTGTGTTTGTTTCATGTATACAATGTTTCATCGAAATTGTTAGAGCTGTTTCGGTGCCGGTCTATGGAAAACAGGTATGTAGTCTACATAGCTAAATAGCATGGTCAATATTCAGCATAGAAAGCCCGATTTCGTACATAGATAGACATAGTTCGAAATCCTACAAAATACAAAAATAACAATAAAATCGGTACACCGAGTTGAAGTGGCTTCATTCTCTTTCCCGACGGCAATTCCTTCTTTTTATTTTCCTTTTCCAAGTCCAAAAACCATCCTATATCTTAGAACATCTTAAATTATAGATTTATATATCCCCTACCATAAAACTACTTCATTTAGCGAACCCTTCGTCATTCGTGCTACCTACTTTTGAAACTTTTTACCTACCTCCAAACGTCATTCCTCGTCCTTCAAATTATTAATTAATTTTATTTCAAATTAATTCCTTTAAATGACCACCACCTACTCCATATTCAAACTACCTCAAACATGTAAAATTTTCTTGCGTCCGAATACTGTATAATTCAATCAACTGAATAATTTCAATTGCAATTAACAGTTAATTAGGCATCAGTTTGTATTCTTCTAAGCCATACTAAGTATGTATAATTATGTATCTCTGTTATTATTCTTAGGGAACTGTAGACCCAGAATAAAATTATTTTTTTCATTTCGATTCATTTTTATTTTATTTCATAACAATATCTCATAAAATAATCATAGCACAGACAACCAATGTCTGAATAAGCATTTTCCTTTTTTTAATATGAAAAGATCGTTGAAAACTAAACTTATGCATTTGATGCTATTGCGAAAATTCCCTTTTTAGTGCGGTAGGGGAAAAAAAAATAATTTATTAAAACTTTTCTAGTATTTATAATTATTACTGTCCATTTTTAATTAGTTAAATCAAATGTTTTTTTTACTTATTGCTTACGATTCAACAAAAAACATGACTCACTCAAAAAATACAAATCTTAGATTTCCTACGTTTCTGCTGGAAATTAGGCTATTGTTTATTTGAACTTTTTTGTTGATCTCGATACCTACTATCAACCTTTTAAATATTTCCCTCTACTTAAGATGCATCCTGTATATTTTTCTTCGTTTATTCTGAGCTCATAAGCAACTTTAGTTAAAATAAAGTGGGCTCCTCAAAAAGTTCTTCACTTCTCATATATAAATAACACAACGAGCAATAGAAAGTCTTATAATATCATTGAAACGGAGATAATTTCATTGAACCAAAAATTCATGCATTTATAACAAATAGAATATCAAAATAAGGCACAATTGTCTTAATCCCTGATTTTTTTTTGTTTTACTAAAATTATATTATTTTATATATTTTTTATTTCTATTTAAGGTTCCATCGACACCAAAAAACACATCTAAATAATGTAAGAATGAAGACCGACTTTTTAAAGGAATTACTGAGTAAAACAAAAATTCTGAAATTCGGATGTCGAACTCCGGAATACTGAAATCCACCATCCAATCAATCAACTGTCACCGAGGAAATAACACTAAAATATTCACCGCCATCGACGAAGTTTTTCCATGCAAATTCTATATACATTCATCTTTTTAGTACTGTGTTTAATTTAATGAAAAGAAAAAACAGATTGCCAATAAAATTGAAGTCAATGTTTTCTTAGAGCTAGAGTTTTTAAGTAATCCTCAAATAAATATTATAAGGTTTTTGTCCATCTTACGTTGTACACCTAAATTTTATCAGTGACATTGTTTTAACAAGAAGATGAATAATATATTTTTTTATTAATATTTTGGTAACTATTTTCTAATCAGTATATATCCAACAGTTCCTAGTATTGGTTTAACTATGTTTCTAACATAAATGTTATTGTTGCATTTATCATGGCTTTGATCTCTATTTCTTACACTAGTCGTTAGCTAAATATTATTAATTTTTTTTAAGAATTCGTGGAAATGAAATATTATTAAGTTGAATAGTTATAGTTGCATAAGCAACTTTGTAAGCACTTACCAAATTACCTGTGTCGTGGTTAAAACGCTACTGTTAAAAATTTAAAATATACAGTTCAATATTACAAACGAAATTGTCTTATTTTAGCTCTGTCAGCATTGTAAATTTAACTTAAATTTTATGATTATTTTTAATTACCAAAATAAAACAATATAATGAATTTCATAATAAAAAAAAATGTGAAAAATATTTTAAATCATTTAGCACATTCAACAAGACTTAAAGCATTTTATAAGAAAATTAAAAATTAATTAAAAAAATTACTAACATTTATTCACTGCACACAACTATAATAAATCGATAAGTCGGGTTGTTTTCTTCAAGCAATTGAGGGTACTAACTTAGAACACACACTGTTAATATTTTATACAACGTCTTTACACTACCCAGTTATTTTATCGACTCGAAATTCCAAATAACAACGGTATTGACTTATTGTAGTTTGGTGAAATAAGGAATTAAAATAATATTTATAATTCCATTTTAAAAAAAGTTATGATATTTAAAAAAATATTATTACACTGGCAACTTATGTATTTTGTAATACAATAAGAAATTATATATCTAATCTCGCATAGAGACATAGCGTCACTACACAACCACGAATCACTTTTACATGCAATTGAGAATAACAAGCCAGAATATTAACGTTTCATATGACAGGAAAACACGACGTAATTTTATCGTCTCCAAATTTCAAATATATTAAAAAATAATAAAAACCAAAATTGAGTTTTTATGTTTTTAATTTATTTATCTTTAGATTATTTTATTTTTTATTGTAAATAGTTGTTTGATTATTATATAGTTATTATTTGACTTATGTTAATTTTATGTTTTCTGTATATATGGTGTGAATGAGTTCATATATCACTATAATTATTGTCCACATCACAGATTATTATATTTCTAAATAAATAAATAAATTCGTAATACCGAAATATATTTGTATGACCCATTTTTTTTAAATGGAACAAATCACAAATTTTTTATAAAAACGACATTTTATACAGCATGACCTTAACAACCCATATGTCTCCCACAGACCCATTTATTTTATAAGTGAAATATACTTTTTATTTTATATTCCGTCAGTGTTTTTATTTATATAAATTTACTATAGTGCAATTAAATTACTATAATTATAAATCCTTATATTTAATAAATTTTCAAAATATATTCATAGTTGGTACTTACGAAAGCAAGTGTCAGCTTCATGACGGTGTCGTGGTTTATCCAAATTGAATGCAGTCGGTTGACTGTTGCTCTAGAGAAAGTGCTTCTAATACCAGAGGTCCCCCCCCCCACACTTCCCCCTTCCCATCTTGCATAACATCCCATCCGTCTTTCTCCTTCGTCTTTCTGGAACCTTCTTCTGTCATGTTGAGGTAGTCACACGTCGTCTTCGGGTCTATTGTATATTATTTTTCTCCAAAAATAAAAAAACCTTGTAAGCCTCTTTTTACTGCAGGACAAATGAATAATTATGTCCAGAGGATTTTTATTCTTGTAATTAATTACTACTGTGAAAGTATATTGGGTATTCGAATGTGAGAGGAATTGAATTCGGTATATTAAAGGAAAATATAAATCTTTTCTTTCATTTGAGCACACTTCAACTGCCAGGAAAACTTTGAGAACTTTTTTTTTCTATTTATTTATTGAAAAATATTACAATCTGTCTCAGTTAAGGACACTTATAATAGAGTCCATAGAGTACATTCACACCGAATATACAGAAACATAAATAGATAAAGTAATAACAAAAGAATACATAGACATATGAACAAAATAAAATATTATAAGGAGAGTGAAAAAAAAAATATATATATAAAAGTAAAATGAAAATCTTAGATACAAGCATACCTATATACACTATTTACAATCAGTCAGGGAAACTCCGAACCAATCTTGTCCCCGTACTCGTGGAGGGAAAAGCGAGGCTTAAGAGATCCCTGCGCTTCTCCTTCAACCAGTTCACTAGTATTTAAAACCAGCGGAGGATGGGTGAGAGCGATACAGCCGCAGAAACTCATGACTTGAGTGGAGAATCTAGCCATTGCTAGAACTCCAATATTAAGAGAACTAAGCATGACTTTTTGATAAAAGAAACAGTCAAGACGAATAAAGTATTCAGAAGTTTTATTTTACGAACATAATTGTAAATTATAAAAAATTATAAGTAAAAATGGGGATTCTCTATCCAACAATTTTCTCTTTTAAAATTAAAAATATTAATGATAAAACTAGATCTCAATTTCCTTTTTTTTTAATATAGTCTTTGTAACATATTGGTTTTCTAAAAAGTGTCAGGTCTGAGAGTTATAATTTTGGTTTATTATTTTTAAAATGAGTCATTGTAATCGTCCAAAAAAATCAAAAACTTAACCCTTCCCTTCTCAAAATTCGAAGTATTACGCTTCAGGATACGTAGAATTCGAAAATGGAATATAAATGTTTGGCGTCCGCTGTCCGCACATTTTCTCCGAGAATAATGGACCGATTTTTGTTCAAATTTGGATTTAAAGTCTGAGGTTCTCGACATTGATCCTGCTACATCGACATTATTATCCGTTCTTTCTTTTCAAGATTGCTGCCGACAAACCTGTGTTGTTATGAACTGTAGTGAATAAACAAATGTACCAATTTCAATGATTCTTGGCTAAAGTATTCTTCTCGACGTCCTTTAAATTTATCTATATAACAAAAGAATCCGAGAAAATAGTTCGAAGGATGCTAAAATTAGATTTTCGATTAACTCAAAAGGTATAAACTTTTAAACGGTGAAAACCCAGTTTTAACTGAAACTCCTTGCTGAACGCACCTCCTTGAAGAAGGCCTGCTAAGTCGGGTCGAAACGTTGGCTTAAAATAAAATAGTTTTTCCAATATTTAAGTCTCTTTTTGACCGCCACCCCGGACCATCTCCTTCTTCTATGATATACAACGGTCAACCAGTCAAGGTATTCAACAGGATTTTTTTACATAAAATTTATAATTGTATAAACAAATACAACTAGTGAATGTGAACAAAGAAACATAATGACATAAAAATAGTTGTAGGGAAACTGCCCATTGGTAGCAGTAAATTTCTACATTAGAAGATCACGAGGTATCTACATTCGTTTTAGGAGCCTCGGAGTGTTAATCAGGGTTAAAGAAAAAGTAAGGTTAGAAACGATAGGAATAGGCTAAACAAATAGGAGATTACAGTCACGATGGATGATTTGTTGTGACAAAGTAAGGAGCATTAATAAATTTTACGAAAGACTTTGAATTGTAAGGTTTGGATACAAGAAGAATATTCGATGGTTAAGTGGAGTCCTTTGGATATTGGGCTCAAATCCGTTATTCCAAATAGGGCTTAGTATAGCCTTGTCTATAATAACTGAAATAGTAGGAAACATCAAGCGGCTTAATGTCGTTTCAGTCTTGTATGAGAATTCCAACTTGTGCTTTTGTCCAAATGTAAAATCAGGTATTTTAAATACTAAATATCGATATAAATCCCATCAAATTACCTTCACTCTCCGTCGTAAACCAATGACTTCCTGTCCTTCAGTATCCTTTAACAACACCTCACTTATTCCTGTTGAACAAATCCGTTACCAAGGACTCCACCAGGACAAACGTCTACTTTGGAATCCTCATACCAGACTGAAACGACAAGAAACCGCTCAACGTCTCCGACTACTTCAACACTTACAAGACAAACGCTCTAACCTTCCAATTAATTACTAAAGACTCATATACATGACTATAATAAGACCTATTTGGACTTACGGAGTTGAGCTATGGGGCTCCACCAAACCTTCAAAATCCTCAATGCTCCTTACTTTGTTACAAATAAAATCATCCAAAATTACCTTAATGTTTCTTATGTTTAAGACTTGGCCCCATCCAGATACCTATTCTTCCATAATTTTTTTTTATTTTTTTTTTATTTGGGTTTTATACAGCTCAAGGAGTCATATCCCCAACACCCAAAAGCCACTGCTCCCTGTCCATCCAATCTCCCTCACGAAGCCCTCTGGCTGCCATGCTTTCCTCCACGTCCTCTATCCATTTCTTCTTTGGCCTTCCACGCTTCCTTCTTTCAGGTGGCACATAGTTATAAATTTTCTTTGGCCAGCGGTTCTCATCCATCCGCATTAAGTGGCCATACCACTTTAACCGTTTGGTCCCGATCAGGTGAAGGATGTTCTTTTGACATCCGACCTTGTCTCTAATTGCTGCGTTTGGGATCCGCTCGATTCTGGATATGCCACAGCTTCTTCTCCAGAAATCCATTTCCATGGAAAGCAACTTATTTTCCATCTTTTTTGTCAGTGTCCAGACTTCTGATCCGTAAGTGGCTACGCTTTCTACAAAGGAATGGTATATCTTTTTTTTAGTTTCTAATCTTAGTTCTTTCCTCCATAGGGTTGAATTTATCGAACTTATTATTCTTTTCCCATTATTTATTTTATGTTCGATATCAACCTCACTACCACCCTTTGAAGATAACCAGTATCCGAGGTACTTGAACTGTTGGCTGACATTTAGCGTCCAGTCATCAATTTCAAGGGGCAAATTTGGAGCGTTAAAAACCATATACTCTGTTTTACTTTCACTGATTTTCAGACCCCATCTGGAATACGTGTCCAGCAACTTCCTCATCATATAGCTAACATCATCCGGATCCGATGCGATTATGACTTGGTCATCGGCATACTGCAAATTGTAGATGACATCATTCCCGATTTGAACACCCATTCCACAGCACGATCTTTTCCAGTTTTTAAGGGCTTGTTCTATATAAATGTTGAAAATCAGGGGTGAAAGGCAGCAGCCCTGTTTCAATCCTTTGTTAATGAAGAAGCTTCTAGACACTCTATCTCCAATTTTTATAGCCCCCGTTATATTTTTATAGAGCTCTTGAATTGCTCTGATGAGGTATCTCTTAATAGATGTGGCTTCCAAAGCTTTCCACAATTTCGCTAGAGGTACTGAATCATAGGCCTTGTGTAAATCTACAAATATCATATGGAGTTCACGGTCGTGGGCCATCCTCTTTTCTATAAGTTGTGAGAGACTAAAAATGTGATCAGTGCATGATCTTCCAGCTCGAAAACCCGCCTGTTCCTCGCTGATCTCTTCCTTTAAATCATTTTCAATTCTGCTTTTAATTATCCGGCCGTATAATCTACTCAGCGAGCTGGTAACAGTAATACCTCTGTAGTTGGAAACATCTTTCTTTTGGCCTTTTTTGAAAACTGGAGTGATATAACCCTGTTTCCATTCTTCAGGAATCTCTCCACCATTTAACAGAAGTGTCATACTTTCTGCCAGTGCCATTTTGAGTTCGGTCGGGCCTGCTTTAATTAATTCAATTGGAATAGAACCAGGGCCGGGAGATTTTCTATTTTTCATTCCTTTGAGGACTGAATCCAGTTCTATGATTGTGACTGGCGGTATATCTTCCTTATTTAGCATTATTTCATCGGATTGGTTCCATGCGAATTCGGGTCGCTCCTCATGAAATAATTCTTCAAAGTGATTCACCCATTGCTGCTCCTTGATCAATGGGAAGTTATCTCCACATCTTTTGGGATTTTTCAATCTTTTTAATGTCCTCCAAGCAGCACTAGACTTTTGTCCATCAATGTAAGTGTCCACATACTTGCAGGTTTTCTCCCAATAGATATTTAAAGCCTTCCTTCTAATAGCTTTTACTTTTTTACAGGCATTTCTATATTCCCTCAGGTCCTTCTCATTTTTAGAGCTCAACCATTTATTGTATAAATATTTTTTCTCTTGAACAGCCACTTCAGCATCCTCATTCCACCAAGGCTTGTTTTTTCCTCTAACCTCTTTCCTTTCCTCTCCGACAGCTTCTAAAGCTGCGGCATGCAGGCACTTTACTATATTTTCGTAATTTAGTTGATCATTCAGACCTTTCTCTTGATTCAATTTCTCCATCAGTCGGCTTTGGAACAGTCTTTTTACTGATTCTTGATTTTTCATACTCTCAATTGAGTATCGAATCGTTTTCGAAGAGTCTGAATTTCCTCTGGTCACTGGAGAGTTTCTAAGAAGATTATGGGATTTAAAATTCAGAATACTCTTTAAAAGAAAGTGATCCGAACCACATTCCGCCCCTCTCATCACTCTAACATCGTTTACCTTTATCCTAGTAGTGCGCCTGAGGATTATATAATCTATGATTGATTTTAGACCTTTAGCGGGCTGGTACCAGGAGAATTTGTGAAT